TCCTTGCTATTAGCTCCTTGTTTGTGTCACAACTTTGATTTGATCACCAGAGGGATGAACAGAGCCTCTACATCATTTTTTTCTCTCATCTTTTTTTATTATTATTAATTTTGTTGATCTCTTTGAAGAACCAACTTCTGGTTTCACTGATTTTCCCTATTGTATTTCTGTTCTCTCTTTCATTTTTTACACTCTAAATTATTTTCTTCCTTCTGCTTGTTTAGTTTGCTCTTCTTTTTCCAGTAGTCTAAGGTGGAAAGTTAGTTTATTGATTTAAGATCTTTCTAATATAGGCGTTTGCAGCTATAAATTTCCCTTTAAGCACTGCTTTTACTGCATCCTATAAGTTTTGGTATGTTGTGTCTTTGTTTTCATTTACCTCAAAGTATTTTCTAAGTTCCCATATGGTATCTTCTTTGATTCATTGGTTATTTAGGAGGGTGTTATTTAATTCCTGCATATTCGTGAATGTGTTTATTTTTAAATTTTGGAATCAGCTTAAAGACTTATAAAGAATTACAGAATAGGATATAAATGTCTCAACCTTAATAGTGTAAAAGAATGGGTACAGCTGGCAGGGATGGGGAAGTAGATGTGGAGAGATCAAAGGACATATCTCCTTATTTAACAAAGTAGAAAGTTAAGAGATACAGTCTGTGGTTGATGGGACAGGGAATGAAGATTTAAAAGTTTTTTTTTTTAATTAATTAATTTATTTTAATTTCAAGTATATAGTACATTGGTTAGACATCTATATAATTCATAAAACAATCCCCCCAATTGCTCCCTCCCTCCCCTGGCCCCCCACCTAGCCAACATATTAATGTTAATTGCATTCCCTATTCCGTGCTCCCCATCCCCTTGACCATCTATCAACTACTAATTTGTGCTTCTTTAACCCTTCACCCCATTCTCTCAGTTTCCTAACCGTGTCTCTCCTCTCTCTATCACCAAATTGTCTATTGTATTTGTGAGTCTGTTTTTGATTACTTTGTTCTTTTTGTTCCTTAGATTCCACATATAGGTGAAATCATACGGTATTTATCTTTCTCTGTCTGACTTATTTTACTCAGCATAATAACCTCTAAGTCCATCCATGTCATTGCTAATGGTAGGATTTCATTTTTTTTTTTTAATGGCTGAGTAATATTCCATTGTATATATAAACCATAATTTCTTTTTCCAGTCATCTGTTGATGGGCATTTAGGTTGCTTCCATATTTTGGTTATTGTAAATTGCGCTGCCATGAATATTGGGGTTCATAGATCTTTATGAATTATTGTTTTGGGTTTTTTTGGATCAATACCCAGAAGTGCAATCGCTGGGTTAAATATGTTTTAGACTTTGTACTATGTTGTATGTTTGTCGTAAACCAGGCCAAATACATATATGTGGGTCTATAAAAGTTTTTTATAAACTACATGAATATATTACTTGAATTGGCAATTTAAAAATTAATCATTGTGGAGTCTCTAAATTAGTTTATTCTTTAGTCCAGAGAGTTAATATAGTCCTAGAACTAGAATTACTAGTATTTTGATGACTTCTTAAAGAGAAATCACTCTGGAAATTTGTTAGGTGTTGTCTCTTCCCACTATCTGCCTGACTTTTGTTTTGCAAAGCATATTTTGTTGATTTGACATTTCTTGTTTTTCTCAGACTGAGGCAGCTAAATTAGTTCCAATGGGTTTCACCACTGCAACTGAGTTCCACCAAAGGAGATCAGAGATTATACAGATTACAACTGGCTCCAAAGAGCTTGACAAACTACTTCAAGGTGTAGTAATTCTTTATCCTATTTTGTGAACTGCAGTTAGCAAAGCATCCAGATTATAGTACAAAACTAAAGTATTTGGGTAGGATTTATGTGTTAGATGTGATTAAGAAATAAGAGAAGTATCTACATCAATGAAGTAAGACTGCTGCAGGGTGGAACCTGATATAAAATACTGAAAGTATCTGTCAATTAAATAATCTCCATTTAATGTTGCATTCAGGGCATAAGTTCCCTTTGCCTAAAGAAATCATTTTAACTTTCTACTCTAACATAAGATTGAAAATCTGATAACTGATTAAAACATTCCATATTCAAATATTGTAACGTTGTAGCATACACTAATCTTCAGGACTTTATAGAAACCTGTAAAGTTTTCGAACTTTTGAAAGCATTGCTGTCCTGTCCTAAATTATTGCAAAGTTAGATTTTGTTCTTGTTGCTTCTCCAAATATTTAATCATTCAAGTTCTCTTTTTTTCCAGAGTGCACAATAGGATGAGTTCAGTAATCACTCAAATTTAAATGTTAGCCCTCTCTCCTATACCAATGTACCCTTCTGTAAAAACATTTTTCTGCTGAGCTCCAAGTTATTTTTTCTAATCATTTGTATTATGCTAAGAGGTATTTCTTATTGCTCTTTTAGGAGGAATTGAGACTGGATCCATCACAGAGATGTTTGGAGAATTCCGAACTGGGAAGACCCAGATCTGTCATACATTGGCTGTAACATGCCAGGTGAGCTTTTGTTGGCTCTAACTAATCAAATCAGCAAGAATGAATTGATTTCCACTGTTTTCAAACATCTGTTTTGATGGACATAAAAGGTCCTTTCTCTGTCCTTAAGAATCCTATGGCTAGTTAAGAGGTAGACTCCTACAGCACAATTCCTCCACATCATAGAAACTTTCAGATTATTGATTTTAAATATTTTCTTACCATCTACTAGACTTCCCGTGGCTTTGACTTGCCCTCTTTAGTAGTCTAGATTTTATGATTCATCCTTAAAGTCATTCCTTTACAAATACTCTCAGATTTACATTCCTCTCCTGAAGAGAAGCCAATCTAAAATGAACCTTATCTGTCTATGGCCATGCTGCCCTGAACAAGCCCAATCCCGTCTGATCTTGGAAGCTAAACAGGGTCGGGCCTGTTTAGTACTTGGATGGGAGACCACCAGGAAGACCAGGTGCTGTAGGTGTAAAAAATAAAAAATAAATAAAATAAACTGAACCTTATCTCTCCTCAATGCCTACTCCCAAATAGCTGATCATACTGGAGAAAAATCATACCATAAAGTCGACTGGCTTCAGTTTAAATTCAACAAACTGCTTGGCAGATCTACTGAATTTCTCTATTTTGACATAGTTTTTCCCACACAGTTAGACAATTGTTTCATACTTTATCATTTTTCCTCAAATTTTTATGCTCTTCTTCAACCCTTACTCTTAGCCAGTGACCTAACCCGCTCTTCATATCACCTTTATAAATCTACCTACGTTTATACCTACCTTTTCTTATCTTGGATTGCAATAGAAAAAATGTCTCTTTTCCTCTCAAAGGCCCATCCTGTCAGTGTGATCTGTTTACCGTCTCCAGCCACCTTCTCAAGGCCTCTATTCCTTCTTTTTTATATTTTGCCTTTGTATACGATTATCCTCATTGGTATACAAACATGCCTAGTATCTCCTCCATCAAGAAAAAACCTTCCCTGAACCCCTTCAGTTTCTTCTTCCTTTACTTATGTTCCAGTTCACTGATGGACTTGGGAACAGACATAGGGAATTAAATAATTGCCTAAGATCATATTGCATTTAAGTATCAATAGATGCAAAAATCAAACCAGACTTCAGAGCCCATGCTCTTAAAACCTTCATAGGAGTGGAACCTGTCACTGGCTTATTCTCTCCTGTATTACTAGTGCCTAAGTCAGTGCTTAGCACTCAGTAAATACTTGAATGGATGGAAATGGTAGAGTATATGTCCTAAGGCATACCTGATATATTATCAAATAAATGCTATAGAGGAAGTAGCATAACTGTTTAAGGAAGAGAGAGATTACACCTTAGAGTAATCATATAATACTTTATGTAGAAAAGAGATTGGGCCAGACTCCTGAAGAATGCTAAATTTGAGCAGGTAAAGAAATTAAAAAGCATTTAACTGTAGGGAGTGGTATGACAGAAATGTAGGGGGCAGACAGATGTAATGTATTGAGAATACAATAAATAAACCTATTTACCTCATCCAGAGGTTTTATTTGGAAGAGTCGTAGGAAATAAACCTTAAAAGGACACATCAGGAATATATTTTAGAAGGTCTTGACTATAGTGTAAGACGTTTAGACTTGATTCTGTGAAGGATGGAGATCAGTATTTTCAACTAAAGAGTAACAAACAATTTTCAGAAATATTCTGGTAGCAACCTGTTGAATGAATCGAAAGGAGAGATAAGAGCTGAGGATATTTGATGTATGGTTATTACAGGCATTAGCTGAACAGGACTAGAAAACTAAAATAGTGACATTGAAAGGATGCAGGAAGAAGACGTAAAGGACAACCCACTTAATGATTGACAATAAAAAATACCCCTCAGTCCAATAGTGTATTAATTTGGTAAACTCTAAAAAAGGTTTCAGTGAGAGAGACAGTTTTTAATGGAAAGATGAGTGCAAGTTTAGAGATGGTGGGTTTGAGGTGATGAGATAACCAAGTAAAATTTTCAGCAGTACTTAGAGATGTAGACCTAATTCCTATATAGAGAACATTGGAATCTCTGAAAATGAAAGATATAAGAGAGAGAGGGAGAAGGATATAGAAGAGAAAGTGAATAAACTATTTACTGTTTTGCAACTTCAAGCAATGTTTTGGAGATCTCTTTCCCCTTTGGGGTCTAGATATTCCTTGGCTTTAAGGGTATGCTGCTGCTGAGTGGTTGGCCCACAAAGTACCCTGGAACCTGACCCATTACCATGGACCAACTCTTCTCTTATAATCTTTCAGGGTTTTATTTCAGTTTTAGGTATTTTGAAGAAAATGACATTTAATCTAGATAGATTATACTCCTTCCATGAATACAACTTATTGATGCAGTTCAAGAACAAATGAAATGAAATCTGCCTCCATGTATCAGTATAATAGAGGAGGCTTCCTAGTATCTTTCCATCCTAGTGTGAGTTCTTATCCCTTTAACAAAATAATGGTTCTAAATTCAGACATCAAATATAAATTTTCTTTGTTTTTTTTTCCCCTTATAAAGCAGGTTGTGAACTGTCCTTTATAATTTATTCTGTATTTAGCACTTTATCAAAAAATGTTTATTACATTACTGTAGTGTTATAGGTAAGGATGGTATGTATCATAAAAAATACGGGTTTTGTTAGGACCCTGGGTCTTGTGTCTTGCCTAGGGTTCACATTTAGTAAACACATATATCTGCAGAGACTAATGTAATGAGGCTGGTTTTCTCAAGTCACCCAAGGAAATCTGTATCCTTATTTTTCTCATGTTACAGATGTAAAAAGTATCAGTCACTGCTTCTGTCTTGAAGTGATGAATGCTATTTTTTGAGATAGGAAAATATTCTGGTTCTTTATGAATAAAAGTTTATCTAACAACAAGAGACCCAACTTGATAGTCTCCTGTTTTTCTCATCTTTTTTTCCTTTTTCACTTGTCATTTTAATTGCAGTTCTTTCCTTAATTGCTCTACCGATCTTTTCATTGCAGACCAAAATGTCATTATATGTCTCAGACAAGTTAGGATTCTAGTATCAAGTAGACCTAAGTCTCTCATAACTAATTCCAAGGAGGAAAGAAGGGGGATTGGAGAGCTTTTAGAATAGTAAGGGGGAAGCATTGAGAAGACTAAGAGTGGTAGTAAGCTGTGGGAACTATAGCTTATTGCCTGAGCACCATTAGAAAATTGTTAAAGGGAAATAGTACTGTTTAAAATATTACCCTCACATGGGTCATTTGACATGATGTATGACCTTTTTAAATAGATAATGTTTTCCCTGTGTTTTGACAGGGATTCATTTTGAATAAATATTTAGAGTACAGTACACAGTATATGTAGTTACCAAGGAAACTCAGATGATCACACTGATGCTCTTAAGTTGTACAAACAGAAACCTATCCTGGGAATGTTTACTAAGCAGTCAGATAATGCCTGTCAACAGTAAACTGAAGCAAAATTCTCAAACATATCCTCTATAAAAATAATTGAACAGCTATAGATCTTTGATATCTGTTTCAGAGAAAAATACTAATTCATTAATAAAAAGGATTACATTTCACCAGCCTAAGAGCTGGCACCAGAGGTATAGAGAGGATGTTAGATTACTGCTTAAATCTAAACATTATCTGTTCTCATTTGTTCATATTTTCTCAATTTAATGAAGTGAAGCCCGATATATATTAGATTTCTGTCTAATAGTGAAGTTATGTAAAGTTGGGAGCCACATTTAAGTTACAAAAATGAACAGCTCATGATTATTCAAAGTAATGGCATAATTTAAAAATTCTGAGAAGACAGTTGAACATAAGTACCAATTTTAAATGTATATACCCTTTGACAGAAAATGTCTTATAAAACTTTTTGCATAAGGTTGAGAATAAATGTACAAAGAATTTACACCACAGCATTATAAAATGGCGAAAGTGCAAAACAACTTGCATCACTATAAAATAGGAAGAAGAGTTAAATTATGGTACTAAGCAGTTATTTAAAATAGCTAACTTGGTGGTGTCCCAGTCCAGTAACACAAGATGACTGCAGTGGCACTGGAAGGGCAAATTAGAGGAGGTAAAATGGGCTGGAGTGCAGAAATGTAGTCATTCTCCTTGAGATTGGCCCCATAATACACTGAGACCTTGTCCATTCTTCTGCTGTGAGTCTGACTACCTATGTCTAGCCACCTATGGCCTCATGTTAGCACTAAAGGTATCAGAAAGTGAGAGAAGAGAGAACTCCATCATCTTAATTCCTAGGGACTTAGGCTCTTGTGTGTCAAGATTTTCTCCTCCCCAAAAAACGGATATCTTCTTCCTTTCCTCTTGGCCAGTGGTTCCAAACCTTTAGTCTGTCAAGACCTTCTTTTCTTATATACATATCCTTTGTTCCTTCCATGGCTTCCTATCATTTGAAAAATTTTGTCTGCCAACCTGCCAAGTAATAACAACCATTTTTCTTTCTGGGTTAACAAAGCCATTTGTAACTGAGTGTACGCTAAAATCAGTGCTCTAGAGGTAGAGAATATCATAAGTCTTCAAAGTTCTTTCTGTATGTTAATCACTGTGCTAAACACTTTACATAAATTATTTTGTCTTCAAAACAATCCTAAAAGGTGGGTTTTATCTACATTTTACAGAGAAGGAAATAATATTCTTAGGGACACATAGTGACAGAACCACATATAATAAAAAGTATATGACAATACATAGAAAATGATCTGGAAGATTACTTCTGGGAGATGGGAGTGATGAAGAGAGCTTTCAATTTTTACTCTACTTTATTGTTTGAATATTTAATACAAACATAATACTTTTATACTTTTGAAAATAAAGTTTTTTTCTCAGAAATAAGAAACGAAAATTTGTTCCTGCCAGGCCCTTAGTGTAAAATAAGGGATTTTCCTCAGAATTTAAAGGTGAATTATGGCTCCAAAGTAGATTTCTAGGGTGCAAATTACCTGTTAACATTATTCACTTAAAATTTTTAGAATTCAAAGCTGTCTGGCTTTGGGTAACTTAAAGCACAGATTTCCTTGCGTAGCTCATGAGACAGTTTTCATGGTGTTCCTTTTCTTTCTCTCTTTCTGTTATTTTCCTTTTTCTCCTTTTGTTCATTTTTTAACATCTATATGTACTGTTGTAGCAAATAGCTTTTTTCTTCTTTCTTGCTCATACATTAAACTTGCTAGGGATGCCTTGCAGAAATGAACTCGGCTCAACAAAGTGAAATGTTATGCTAAAATTAATTAGATGTTACTAAAGCTAAGGCAAATGATCTTCCAAATGTTTGTACTCTTGAGAGGATCAATGAGTCGTGTGTTGGTATGCAGAAATAGAATTTTATCACCTACTTTGGACTATATTTCCAAGCAGTTCAACTCTGGTAAGACTCTAGCCTCATATGGTATGGGGCACAGTGAGCCTCATATCTACTGCTTGCTGTATTTCTCTCAGAAGGGAATGCTTTCTTCCCTACCTCTGTCACTTTAAAGTGATTTTTCCCTTCGCCTTATTGGGGGTGGAGGGAATTATAAACCCATCATGGAGAAGTTGGTTAGTTATATCAGAAGTACAGTGTTCATTTCCACAGTTCTTTCTCCTCTCTCTAGCTTCCCATTGACCGAGGTGGAGGTGAAGGAAAGGCCATGTACATTGACACCGAGGGTACCTTTAGGCCAGAACGACTACTAGCAGTGGCCGAGAGGTAGGTTACTGGATCAGATGAGAGAAATATACCTGCACCTGTCCCTGTCATGATTGCCAGGGTTAGTCTAGCTGAAGAGTGTCTCATTGCTCCATATTCCAAAGTTGTATGTGTGGCTGAAAAGAATGACCTTCCTTAAAGAAAAACATTCTTCTTTAGCCAAAAATTTATGAGTTACTGTCAGACTGGGTTTAAAAAAAAACAAGATCCAACTATATGCTGACATAAATAGGTTAAAAGTAAAAGGATGGAAAAAGATTTGCATGGAAATTGTAACAATAAGAGAGTTGGAGTGGCTACATTAATATCAGACAAAGTAGACTTTAAGACACACCAAAAAAGTATTACTAGGGACAAAGAGGAATATTTTATAATTAAAAGATTAGTTCATCAGGAAGGGATAACTATTATAAACATATACACATCTAATAATAGAGCCCCCAAATATGTGAAACAAAAACTGACATAATTAAGGAAATAGACAATTCAACCATAATAGTTGGGAACCAGTATTACACTTCCAATAATGGTTAGAACATTTATCAAGTGCACTGATAAAGGGCATCTACAAAAACCTACAGCTTGCATCATACTTAATATTGAAAGTCTGAATGCTTTCTCTTTAAGATCAGAAACAAGGCAAGGGTGTCCACTCTTACCACTCATTCCACATTGTACCGAAGATGTTACCCAACACAGTTGGGTAAGAAAATAAAAGGCATCCAGATTGGAATGGAAGACATAAAACTCTTTATTCACCGATGACGTGTTCCTGTATGTAGAAAATCCTCAAGAATCTATACACACAAAAAATACTACTAGAACTAAATTAGTCCAGCAAGGTGGTAGCATACAATGTCAGTATTTCTGTATACTAGCAATGAACAATTCAAATATTACGAAACAATCACATTCACAGCATTAAAAATAATACTTGGTAATTTAATAAGTGCAAGACTTGTACACTGAAAACTACTAAACATTGCTGAGAGAAATCGAAAAAGCTCTAAAGAAACATTTCCTATTCACAGATTGGAAAACACAATCTATTAAAATGACAATTCTCCCTCAAATTGATCTATAGATTCAACACAATCCATGTTGAAATTCCAGCAAGGATTTTTGCAGAAATTGGCAAGCCGATTATAAAATTTAAATGTCAAAGACTCAGAATAGCCAAAACATTCTCTGGGGGGCGGGAGGTGGGGAGGTCTTAGTCTTTCCAATTTTTAAATTTACTGTAAAGCAACAGTAATCAAAACAGTATGGTGCTGGCATAAGGAAGGGTGGATATATGGATCAATGGAACAGAATTGAGAGTACAGAAGTAAACCCTCTCATTTATAGTCATTTGATTTTTGAAAAAGGTGCCAAGGCAGTTTAATGGAGAAAATGATAGTCTTTTCAATAAATGGCTAATGTAGTTGGATATCTGCCTGCAAAAAGATATATTTAGACCCTTATACCATACCTAAAAATTAAGTAAAAATGGATAATAGTCTGATGATTCCTCAAAAAATTAAACAATTACAATATAATCCAGCAAGTCCACTTCTGGGTATGTACACAAAAGAATTGAAAGCAGAGACTGGAACAGATACCTGTCTATCAGTGTTCATAGTAGCACTATTAACAATAGCCGAAATGTGGAAATAATCCAAGTATCCAACAGGTGAATGAAAACAAAATGTTGGATTTACATACAATGGAATAGTCAGTCAATCTCAGAATGAAGGAAATTCTCACATGGATGAACATTGAAAACATGCTAAGTGAAATAAACCAGTTGCAAAAGGAAAAATGTTATATGATTCCTCTTACGTGAGGTACTTAGAGTAGTCAGATTCTTAAAGAAATTAGAATGTTGTTTTCCAGGGGCTACGGATGAAGAGATTAGGGAGTTATTGTTTAATGAGTACAGAGTTTCAGTTTGGAATGATGAAAGTTCTGGTGGTGATGGTTGCACAAGAATAAGAATATATGTATTTCCACTGGACCGTATTAAAAGGTTAAAATGGTATATTTTATGTATATTTACTATAATTTTTTTAAAAGATGAAAATCCTACATGTAAGTGCTAAAACTATTAACACTTTTAGTAAAAACAGGAGAAAGATCTGACAAGGGTCTAGTACCCAGAATATATAAAAACTTACCACTGGGCAATAAAATGACAACCCAATTAAAAAATGAGCAAAGGATTTATAAAGACATTTCTCCAAGGAAGATGCTTATTATCATTAGTCAAGAGGAAATGCAAACTAAAACCACAATGAGATACCACCATGAGGATGATTGTAATAAAAGAGATAGTAACAGATGTTGGGGAGGATGTGGCGAAATTGGAACCCTAATACGTTGATGTCACTTTGGAAAAGAAAGTGTCAGACATAAATTTATCGTATGACCCATCAATTTTACTCTGGTTATGTATCCAAGAGATGTTAAAACACGTCCACATGGAGACTTGTACATGTATGTTTATAGTTTTGTTATAATCACCAAAAACTGGGAACAACCCATTGTCTATCAACGAGTAAATGAATAAACAAAATTTGATTTATCCATACTGCAAAGTACTATTTGACCATAAAAAGGAATGAAGTGTCAATATGTATTACAACATGGATAAACCTCAAAAACATACTAAATGATAGAAGCTAGACACATAGTATATTCCATTTATTTGAAATTTCCAGAAGGGGAAAGTATATAGGGACAGTAGATTGTTTACCTGGGGCTGGGAGTAGGAACGGAAGTAACTACAAATAGACTTGAGAGATCTTTTTAGGGTGATGGAGACATTCTAAAATTGGATTGTGATGATGGTTGTACAACTCTGCAAGTTTACTAAAAAGTCATTGAATTTTACACTTAAAACAGGTTAATACTATGGTGTATAAATTACACCTCAGTAAAGCTGGTAAAGAATTTTTTTAAGTTTCTACATCCCCTAGTACAACTTTCAAATAAGTCAAAATTTTTTACTTATTTTTCTTTGTCTAGGGTCAAATGTGATCATTTGGTCCTTCTTACACATTTTACTGAAACCTAGGGATTAAATAGAATTTAATTGCATGGTGAAATGTCAGGCTCAAGTCAGAACCTGCCTAGCTACATTGAGGAGTTTTCTCACCTCCATTCTCTTGCCCATTTTACAGTTTGAGGAATCCAAGCCATGGAGTGTACACCACTGAGGAATAAAATTAGGTTGGAACAATAATTGTAGTTCTTTGCCTCTGCTTACAAAATCCCTGTCATGAGAAAAGAATTATTCTTTTGCAACCCGATCTTAGATTTCTAAAGCTATGTCTATTAAACTATATCTTCCCTCCCAAAGTTATTTTTGGTGTTGTACAAAAATCACACTTTTAATTTTTAAGTACACTATTTTAGTAGTTGAAGAATTCTCTCTTGTATAGTCACTAAGATTTTGTCCAGGTAGGTACTAGACTAATCTGGGGATAACTTCGTAAATTGTATAAATGTCTAACCACTGTGCTATACACCTGAAACTAATATACAATAATATTGAATGTCAAAAGAAAAACAGTTTATACCCAAAAGAGGCTTTAAAAATAAATATATAAATGGCCCAAAAAAAAGGGATTTTGCCCAGTAACATAAATGGTGTTCAGATAGGATAGATGAGAAAGTAGAATGCTGGCTATGAGGACAGGGACTTTGTTCTGATCACTCACTATCCTTAAGCCCTGGAACAGGGCATTTGGTATTTGTTAATGAATATTAAGTAGAGCTATGTTTATGACTATTTTGTCAACTAAAAGAAAAATATATTTAAATGTAAATTTCATTGATTCATTTTAATCATTTTTAATTATAATTGATTTTCTGTTTATGTATATTGCATTTAAATTTATAGTTCCGAGAAAGTTACAGGGCCTTCTTGAGTTAATGACTACTTTCCCTTCACAACAGAATCTTCGCTGATTAATTTTTGCCATGCCCTGTTGAAGAATATTAACCCACATTCAGGTTACTGTAGCTCAGTTCTCAGAATATGGTCCTCAGTATAGCTGCATTACTTTCACCTGGGAACTTGTTTGAAATGCAAACTCTCTGACTCCACACCAGATCTACTGAATCAGAAACAGACTTTGGGATAGGGTTCAGCAATCTGTTAACAGGTTCTCCAGGTGATCTAAATTCTTGCTGAAGTTTGAAAACCATAGCCACAATTGCTAGCTATATAGTGTCACGACTTCTTTTGAAAGTTCTTATTAGTACTATGAAAGAGAGAATTATAGAACCCCCTTGAGGTAATACAGCTGAGTTTTTCAAACTTACATGTTAAGAATCACCTGAGGTATTTGTTAGACATATTAATAAACTTCTCTGAAAATTGTGACTCATTAAGTCTGGGTTAGGCCTAGGAATTTTTTTCTTTTTTTTTACAGGTGTTATCTTTAAGGAGGTTCTGGAAACACTATGAGAGAGGATGCTTATTTCCAAACAACTTTTTCCAGATTGTGGGAATTAAAAATTCCACGTTGCTTTAGGGATGTCAGCACAGAGATCCCCACAGTCGTCTTTGTGAACACTGCTGAGCCTAAAGCCAGGATAACTTCATTTTTCTAGTAAACCAGCCATGTTCTGAAAGCAAAAGATAATCTCCCTCTCTGATGGTAGATTATATCAATGTTTCTTGAGGCAAGACTAGAAGACTTGTGTAGTACAGTACTTAGGCCCCTTGAATCTTTTTAAAAAATCTTAAAGCCATGATTGAAATATGGAAAATTTTATCTCCTTATTCCCATTTTATTTAGTCAGAATCCAAGGTAAAATTCCATCCTCCATCTTCTTATCTTCATGCCCAGGCTTAACTAATCATCATCAATCCACTTAATGTCAGGGCTAAACTTTCATTTGTGCTGATGGTAACAAATAGCAGATGAAATGTCCAGGAAAGTGCCAGGACTGTGTATACTTAATATGAAGAATCCATTGTATGATGTGGAAAATGCAGTTGGGTAGAGTGGGATCTCTTGCTATCAAGGTTTAGCTTACTGCAGTGTTATTTCAAGTGCTAGAATATTCTTTCATTTTTCTATTCTTTTGGGGAAGAAAAAGGAGAGGAAAACTAGTAAAGCTAAGTTTCAGAAAAATAAATTTGATGTACTGCATGTTTTTGTAATGATCAGTCTCCACATAGACTGCTTCTTTCAAGACATAGAATCATAGACTTTAGATTCTCAAAGAATTACAACACATTGTAATTTTTTAACAGATTCTTTTGAACTATTACATATTATATACTTTTAGACTAATTTTAGGTGATAATATAAAAATATGATGGGTTAAAGTGATATATATAGTTCTCTTTTTGTTTGGATTATGGATGAAAGCTTTATTCAGCAACATTCTGAATTTACTAAGTATAAAAAAATGTACTAGGTAGAGAGGCTTAGTCTTTCCCCTCAAGGAATTTGTGGTCTCATCAAAGAATGGCATGGTAGCTCCTCACGAGTACCATAAAAGACCTAAGTCAATTTTCTGGAAGTGCAGAAGAAGGAGAATCACGTCTATTTGAGAGGTAGAGGGAAGTTTTTATAAAAATGCAGGAGTCTTGATAGATGCATAAATCAAACTATCTTTGAAGAAATGGGGCTCCATTACAGTAATTTAATGAGAATGAAAACTTTTACTCAAACCATTCATATACTTAGGTAGCAGGTACAAAGGTGAGAAAGTATAGATAGTATAAATTAAGTAAGGTAGCATTCATTTAACCATACCAGATACATGTCACATATTTTATCTTATTAACTAGTTACTAGCAAGAAAAAGGAAATGGTCTACGGCCATGCCACCCTGAACAAGCCTGATCCCGTCTGATCTCGGAAGCTAAGCAGTGTCGGGCCTTGTTAGTACTTGGATGGGAGACCTCCTAGGAAGACCAGGTGCTGTCGGCGTGAAAAATAAAAAATAAGGGATTGAAAGATGACAAGGTCCTTGCAATCTGTGAGGTCAACCAAAGGTTGCCTCGCCTAAAAAAGAAAAAGGAAAAGGAAATGAAATATACCTGTTTCTCTTGAACTTACAGTTTTGAATCCTTGCTTAGAAGGTTTTATTCCTATATAACAAATTTATATGAATTTGTTTAATTGATCTTTGATTCATTATCTTTGTTTCGGTCTCGTCTTGTTGCCCTTGGTTTTTCCAGAACATTGTTTTCCTTGTATTTGGAAATTTCTCATTCTAATTCAGGATTCCCCAAAGAATAGACTTGATTTATCCTGAAGTCCTGCTAGGTAGATCTATTCCAAAGCAGTTGTTGCTATCATCTCCTTATATAGTTTGCCTGGACTTTCTAATAGGAAGGGGAATTAATATTCTTTAGCCCCAACATCACCTCTTACCTCCCCATCCAGGTAATTTCTTTGTTAGAGATGAATTTCTCATCTGCCTGAGTTCTGTATGCAGCCTATAAATGTTCTCTTCTCTTCTAGATATGGCCTCTCTGGCAGTGATGTCCTAGATAATGTTGCATATGCTCGTGGATTCAACACAGACCACCAGACCCAGCTACTTTATCAAGCATCAGCCATGATGGTAGAGTCCAGGTAGGTGCTCAGTAGAAAACACTAAATTTGCTTCCAGGGCCCTGGCCCTGAATCTTGTATAGGCTGCTTAGCCAAACTAATAGTAGCTTGAATCAGAAATAGGGAGATATCAGTTTTAGTTCCTATTTTGACACTCTTGCTTTGTGGTTAAAAGTCAAGTTACTGTTAAAAAATGAAGCCATCATCCACTTGAACTTGTTGGAAATTTTATCTTGTTATGTGGTACCTTAGACATGAATGCTGTACAAATATATTAATAAAACATCTATATACAAGTGTAACTATGAATAGGAAATTTTAGCATAGTGAGGAAGGAAGCAGAATCTGACATAAGCTAGAAATAGGCTTCAGAGAATCCTTGTTCCCTGTAGGTATGCACTGCTAATTGTAGACAGTGCCACCGCCCTCTACAGAACAGACTATTCTGGTCGGGGCGAACTTTCAGCTAGGCAGATGCACTTGGCCAGATTTCTGCGGATGCTTCTGCGACTCGCTGACGAGGTAAGTTGTTGGGTAGGGACAGAGAATGCCTACTTTCAGGGGCCATGAATTCCAGGAGCCTTGCTGGGAGGCTAAGACATTAGGGCCTGGTATAAAGATATCAGTTAGATATAGAGACATTAGTCATTCACTGGTTTGTGGGAGAAAGGGTGGCAGTAGTAAGGTCCTTGGGATATCTGTGGCCACAAAAAATAACATTTATCCTTTCTCCATCAGTTTGGTGTGGCAGTGGTAATCACCAACCAGGTGGTAGCCCAAGTGGATGGAGCAGCCATGTTTGCTGCAGATCCTAAAAAACCTATTGGAGGAAATATCATTGCTCATGCCTCAACAACCAGGTAACGTGATGGGATAGAGGACTTCATCTTGGAATGTCGTATTAACTGTGAAGTAGACATGAAAGTATAACATTTCCAATTAAACCCTGTTAAGCTACTGTTGTGTAATTAGACAAAGGAGTCCTTGCTCAATCTAATTGTCATGCTCTGGTTAGTATCAGTGTTTGCTTTTAGTTCATAAAGAAATGAAAAGCCTTCAAATATGGAGGACTGAATATAAAGAATTGACATGCCTCTCCCTCATTATTAAAAGAACATAATTGTTTTAATATGGAAAATCCACTGGGTGTGGGGCAGGCCAGAAATGGATTCTTCTCGGTTGGAAGTGTCCTAAGGAATACAGAAAAATCCTTCTAAGAAGTATATGCGTCCAAAATTTTTTTAGATCTACCATAAATAGCATGAGAACTTTTTAATTATAACTTTGGTGTTCTGATCTGTGTCTTTGGGTCAGACTGTACCTGAGGAAAGGAAGAGGGGAAACCAGAATCTGCAAAATCTACGACTCTCCTTGTCTTCCTGAAGCTGAAGCTATCTTTGCCATCAATGCGGATGGAGTGGGAGATGCCAAAGACTGAACCATTGGGCTTTTTCCTGTGATAAACCTAAGTCCTGCAGCCTAATGGAGAAGACTGCTCCCTATGGTTCTTCGCAGGCCTCTTCCTGTTGTGATGGCTAGAAAAAAACTTCCAGGAAAAACAGCTATTGTATCAACTTTTCTGATGGTGTAAACAGGAGACAGGTCGGTAGTCACAAACTGATCTGAAATGTTTATTCCTTCTATAGTGTATTATTCTCTATGTGAATTCTTTGGTCGGAGGGGGCACGGGATATGGAATACCTTTGACATAGTGCCTTGAGGTTGACTCGGGACTAACAGCTGGAAATCTTGTGTCTAAGAGATCTAAAGCTGGAGATACCTGACTTTTGTCTGAATAATGTTGAAAAAAATGTCAGCTCTATCAGTAAAACTGTCAGTTAGAGGCTTTTAAGTTTCTTTGCCTGGATTATCTTACGTAAGAATTTGTTTTTAGTTAAGGGGTATTTAGCAGACCTGTTGGGCCACCAGCCCTTCACCATCTACTTGGTTTTTGTTTTTGTTTTTTTACTGCTAAGAGCAACTCAAGATAATTCTGGAATCTTAAGCATTTCAGAGGCTCTTTCAGTAGATTCAGTGGGGGTCTGCTAATAAAGTAATTTGTGGTGAATGTGCTTTTTATAGGAATTATTCTGATATAGCTAAAGTATTTCAAGATAGGGCCGATCAGTTTCTATTGTTTTAAAATTGAAAATTTTAAAGTCCTACATTCAGATGATTGAGCTTATTGTCCTTCAGCCTAATACAGAATTACAAGGTGGCTATACCGTGGCTTTCCTGTGGCCTTTATTTTTATTCTGTAAGTCTCATGTTGTAGAGTTCTTCTGATACTTGCCTGGATTATTCTACTTCAGGTGTTTGAGATACTCTTCCCTTCAGACTCCTACTCAGGATGGGTTTTAACCAGCTCTTTGAATTTCCAAGGGCCTCTCAGCTAGTATTGGGAGGAAAGGCAGTGAAAATCTCTGTGGTTGCCTATGTTGATCCTATTATATGTAGGGAGATAAGAGGATTCAGTTAATGTAATGCAGCTTTGTTTCGAAAGTTCTGTTCCCTAGCTTCAAAGAATGGAGTCTATCTCAGGTTGTTTTTTCATTTCTATACCACAAAACAAACCTGGGGTGGTATAATAAAGCCACAGTGACAGATTCTGGAATAAAAGTATGGTCCCTGTAAAAAAGCATCTTAGTCTTATAGTATTTAAAATATTTATTTAAGTGCTTTTGCTCTTGAAATTTGTCTGTTTTTCTTGTAGGTAGGATTAGGCTTTGTGCTGCTGGTTTTAAGTGAACATGAGAGGGTCAGGGAACACCTGCTTGGTTGGGCTAGGTCTTGTGAAGCTAAAAATCAGCTCTCTGCCTATATTTTATATGTAACTAAAATTTTCACTGAAATAGCATTAACCAAAGAGCTTATTATAAACTATTTGGTGTCATTTTTCTACTTGTCTGCAATAGCCTCTGTAGTAGGAAACAATTTTGGAAGTGTCAAGAATAGGAGCTAATAACAGAAGACTATAATCATTTCTAGTCAAATTTGGTTTATTTTAAGTTTGTACCAAAATATATTCCAGGCAACTCCTCAGATCATAGTTTCAGTCTCATAAGCCTGCTGCCATTCCCAAAGCAGCCAAGACTCTGGAATTCAAGTGGTCCAGCCCCTTGGCCCAGGCATACAGTTAGAATCCACATGATTGGTGAGAAGAAGGCAATATCCATGGACTGCCCGGACCCTTCCTTTTACCCTGGTAGGGTGTGATCCTAGGACTATATACTTTGGTATTGAATATTAATCTGTGAAAAAGATTAGAGAGTACAGGTTCTGTTTTGTTCATATGGTTCTTTGAAGTTCATTCACCTTAGCAGCCATTGGAAGTCAGCCTTTAATGCCCTAACCACACTTAACCCTGTAGGACAGGTGCCATATTAGGTTTGATTTTTCAAGAATTCGCTTAAGGGACAGAACAATAGAAACCCAGGCCTCAAGTACTTTCCCAATTTCAGATTAAAAAATTAGGATAAATTAACCAGTAGACAACAGGCAAGAAATGGGGAATGGTAGCACATACTGGTCAGAGTCAGTACACTCCCTTAACCATTCTAACTCGGTCTCCTGGGTCTAAGGGTACAAGGACTCTATTTTGGTCTCTTTTAGGTAGTGGTATTTCTCAAGTCATGAAGGTCATTGAAATGTGATTAGTCTAAAATTGCTTCCAATTCTTCCAGGTCCTTCTGGAAAGCTGAATCCTAAGGAGACAAGAGAATAAGACTAAGACTCAAAATTTAAGCCAACATTTCCCAAACCACTGGAACCCAATCAGAAGGGCCCTTTGCTTCCTTTCTGAGCTGTGTTATAGCACCTACATGTAAAAGTGAGGGAAATAAGATCTCTAGGGAAGATTTTTCCTGTAAAGGTCATATGGTGACTCGATAATGGAACCCAATGTTAGAAGAGCTCTTAAAAACATTACCTCATTAGTGACATCTGGCAGCTCCAGGGCCAGCTTCACCCACTGTCTAGCTTCAGAGTTTCTTCCTAGTTCTTGGTAGCACTGAGAAGAGACGATAGTGAAAACCTGGGAGAAATCTCACCAGGAGACTAGAAGGGGATGAGTAGGTATACTTTCAGGAGTTCCCAGAATATCATCATCATACAGATTTTTCATCTATGTTGAAATAGGCAAGTGAGTTTACCTTGGAAATGTATACCCTTCCTGCTTTGGAAAATCCTGGCTGTAGTTCTTCAGCCTGGAGAAGGGAGGAAGGCATTTCTGTAAGGTATTCCCAAATTCAAGTCAGGCTCTGAAGTATATAGAGATTTCCAATCCTCTACTTGGAGACTGATTTAGTGGGTCTGGGAATTTATATTTTTTCTAAGTTCTCCAAGTGGTTCTGATTTTCTCATAGAACAGGCAGACAAAATTACCCCCTATGAGAAACCCTTCCTCATAATGTCCTTAGAAAAACAGGCCGCTTAGGCATTTTTGGCTGCTGTCCACCCCTCCCTTCCCTGATACCTTTAAGAAGCTCTGGAGGGCATCCTGTACAGTAGCACTTAGGGGGCTCTCCAACAAGGCTGTAGCAGTTTTTCTTTCTAGCCAGCTCAGGTGAGCGACCTACCACCAAAAGATCAAAGTGTGAATAAAAAGTTTCAAACAGGGCTGGGTCCAGTCACCAGTAACATGACCATTCAGAGGAAATGACACTTGAGCCAGGCTGAAGACTCTGCTCCCAAGTTTTCACTGCAATGAGATCAGGACACTTAGGGCCCTTATCTCAAGCCCTGGAATTCAGCTCACCTGGTAGCACCACCTGCCAAGGAGAAAGTGGGCCATGGGGTTTTCTGGCTGGAGAGCAAGGGCTTTGTCCACATGCTCCTGAGGAGAAAATTGTAAATATAAACTATCAGACACCAAAGGTGCTAAGGGAAGAAGGGCAAGTCATGGAGGCTGTAGGAACACCCTTTGATGTTCCTATAAGATGGGGAAGGGAATATGTACTAGACCAGCGCAAGGGAAAGAAGAAAAGCCTTTCCTCACCTTGAAGCTAAAGCCACTCTGGATGCGCCTCTGGATGCCCTCATGCTCAGCCAGCTGACCACAAAGCACTGCATACCTAAGGGGGAAAGCAGCAGCAAGCTCAGGGATAAGAAATGGTCTCCCCACCTATGGCCTAATTGCACTGCTTCTCACCCTTGCACCCTCAACTAGAGCTGAAAATATTTCTATCTGTATATAATTCCTCTTTTCACAGACCTGTGATCCTAATTCATAGTCTTTAGCAAACACAATGGTAGGCTCTCCAAAGTACATACATACTGGGTATAAAAAAGTTGGGTCCTCCACAGTAACTCTCTCTTATACTTAATATTTAGGCAGGGTCTCAGTCCAAATCTCCAACAGATTTCCCCTCATAATGAGTACAGCCATAGGTGTCTTAAAAACTTTAATAGGAAAGACAAATTGGGATGAGACACTCTAGAACTTTCTCATGTTAACTGAGGAACCAAAAGAGGAAGAAAGCCCTCTGATTTCAGCCCTCTCTGTCATATCATCCTTCTCAGGGGAACAAAGCCAACCATCTTCCCACTTA